CATATGTGGTCAGTCAAAGATAAGAGTATCCACAAGACATCCCTATCTGAAGAACAGAAAGTTTGAGAAGTCTAAAGTCATTGCTCAAAAGGTACCCACACTATTACAGTAGCTCACTGTTCAGAAATAAATTAGTGTTTACATCTTCCTGAACAGCTAAGAGATGCTCCAAGTAATGTCAGATTGTTACTCCAGATGAACAAGAACACTGCCCCTCTACTCACAGCACTTCTGACACCAAATGTATAGGGTTTTTGTTTGTTTATTTGTTTACATGAATTGTTCTTCCAGTTCCGCAAGAACACCAACCAACGAGTCCTATAATTTAACTCGAATTCTGATAGCACAGCCTTCATCGGTTAGGGGTTCAGATCCACAAGCTGCCCCCTCCCCCAAACACACACAAAAGCACTTCAGACAGCGGTCACACAATCGGTTTCCCAAGTTACCAACACTTCTGCCAATTTACCTTCAAGTCTAGGATCCCCACCCCGTCTCAGGTTTAGTAACAGGCTATGATAACTCAGATCCAGAGAAAGGCGTTTATAAGTCTACTGTAAAGACAGCATAAAGAATGAAAATGAACTGGGCGTGGTGTTGCATGCCTTTGATCCCAGCAGAGGCAGGGAGATCTCTGTAAATTCCAGACCAGCCTGACCTACAGAGCAAGTTCCAGGGCAGCCAAGGCTACAATAGTGAGATTCATTCCGGATATATGAACAGGGAATAAAGTGCACGGTGCAGTATGGGAACAGGGCCAAGGAGTTTCCCTCCCTCTCAGGTCTTCTCACCCTTCAAATATTCAGAAACTCCAGTTTTTTCCAAATCAAGTAACTTAGCGTTTTAAGAAGGCTTCATACGTAGGCAAGACGGTCAGACCACAGGCTGTTCCTGATTATCTCTAGCCTCTTGGTCCTCCACAGGCAGCGAGGTGAGATGGAAGTTTCAACTCTGACCTCAAAGTCTCCTGCACTCAGCTACCATCCCTGAAGCTATTAACTACGAGACACTCAGCTCCTATCCCTGACGCTGTCTACAGACTCATTAGCAATCTCATGAATTCACAAAAGTGTACTCAGCCCAGAAATTCCAAGAATCTTAGAACTTAAAACAAACTTGGAACTTCCTGGGTCAGAAACAGGGAGACTCTGTGCCTCTTCTTTTCCTGCTCTGTTTGTTAAGACAGGTGGCCTTGAACGCCAGACTCTTGAGTGGTGGCATTAAATGTGTATACTAACACACCCACCTCCTGTTTTCAATATTACAAAATATCTGAGAATAAATAAGAATTAAGAAGAATTAAAATTGCTTATTTGCTATTTCTTCACATCAATTTTAATGAGCTAACCAAGGCTTCACCTATCAATATCACAAACCATGCTTTCCTGCACAAATAGCAAATCTGATATTGCAAGAATCAGAACAAAACTCTTAACTGAAAAATGGGAAATAAGTGTACAGATAAGGCTGAGTGGGTTGGATCGCTGTGAGCACTGGGCTAACCTGGTCTACATAGCTAGTTTCAGGCCATCCAGGTTTATAAATTGAGATCTTGTCTCTATAAATAAATAACACAGATGATACATGATATCACATACAATGAGTGAAACAGAAAAGCAAAAGTCACTAACAAAAGACAAAAGGGCTAGAAAACAAGCAAATAATAATAAATAATAACAGTCACATTCACTGAGAGACTCCAGTTAGAATTCAAAACAAACTGGTCACAATCACTAGCTACACTCCTCAGGTATTCCCTCAAACCGTTAGCTTCCTTCCGTCAGCATCTCTGGGTATTTTGTTTTCTTTTGTTTTTTTCAAGAAAGGGTCTCACTATGCAGCTTTAGCTGTCCTGAACCTCACCAGGCTGGCCTCAAACTCACAGAAGTCTGCCTGCCTCTGCCTCCCACGTCCTGGGATTACATGCATATAACACTCCATTCCACTCCACCAGCATCTCTTGCTTTCTCTCTCCGGTGACTCTGAGACATCTCTCTGGCTGGATAACAAAGCAGCGTTTCTCAAGCTGTGTGTGGATCAAAACCTTCACAGGGTAGCATATCAAATATTTACATTATTATACATAACAGCAACAAAATTACAGCTATGAAACAGCAACAAAATAATTTTATAGTTGGGGGTTACCACAATATAAGGAACATCACTGAGAACCACTGTAATAAAAGAAGAGGTCTATCCTAAAGCTTTCAGGCATTTCCTGGCTTGCAACCATCTTGGCTCTTTTCTTTCTCCATAAAAGATCAATGTGATCACCAGCCAATCGTTATATATGTTTTATTCATCTTGTCAACAATTCAAAAACAAGGCACGTAAACACAATAAAGTATGTCCTTTGCAATTCACAGAAGTAACATTTCCTCTACCTATAATACTACCTTTTCTCAATGTAGTCGAATTAGCCAAGTGTTTTCATGAGCATTTAAAACCTGTTTCAAAGCCATGAGTGATAACACCTTCTTATAATCTTAGTATTCCAGAGGTTGAGGCAGGGAGGATTTCCATGACTTCCAGACTTAAGTCTGGACCAATCCTACCTCCTAAAATGATCATCTTGTTTGTCTTTAGGCAGTTTTAAGCCTGTTATCCATGGTACTCTCAGCAACATCACTTGTCTCTAAAGAGTTGAGCCATCTACAGTCATCTGTAGGATCAGGAATAACTCCTGAGAAATTTCTCATTAGGTGTTCTATCATTCTGAGAAACATCACAGGATTTGCATAAACTTAGGTGGTTTCCATCTCACTCGGCAAGACTTTCGTGGGACCATAGTTACATAGGTAGCTGGTTAAAATGTCAGGGGGCAGCTGAATGCATGTTTTCTCCCACTAAACAAACTCCATACATTAATAAAAAAACAGATAACATGAATTTTGCTTTATCTACTATTTATTGCTACATAATCCTACACACAAAATGCATAAAACTTCCTTTAAGAAACCAAATGTAGCCAGGCGGTGGTGGCACAGGCCTTTAATCCCAGCACTTGGGAGGCGGAGCTAGGCGGATCTCTGTGAGTTTGAGGCCAGCCTGATCTACAAGAACAGGCTCCAAAGCTACAGAGAAACCCTGTCTCAAAAAAAACTAAAACGAAAAGAAAAAAAGCCGAATGTACTACCTATGTAATTTCTGGTGCCTTCTGAAGAATTGTTTTTGCGCTGGGGAACACAAAGAATCAAGCTTCAGAAAACATCAACATGTTCCAAAACTAAAGAAAAGCAATTAGATAATGGTCTGGGAATTGTTAATAATCATAGCTGCCACTAGCCCTCCTCCTACTGCCCCAACTAAAGGGGAAGATTCTGGATAATTCATGCTTACCATATGAGAACTGAATTACCTGCCTAGCTGTATTCTTTCCCCAAAATTTGCTTTTTCAATACAAAAAAAAAAAAAAAGGAGGAAGGAAACTAACATTTTAGAAACAGATTGCCTCTGGAGCATATTCCCAGGGATTGTAGTTCTGCTCTACATTATAACCCATGGTTTGCTTGTGACACTTAGTGAGTTTCAATATGTTCCCTCAGGCCAAAAAAAAAAATCTGTTTCTTAGATTCTGATACATTGTTCCAGGTTAGTCAGGGCTTGAGAAAGCATTTGTGAGAGCTTAGTAGAAGTCAGTGGCCGTTCCAGGTCCTAGAGATCTCAAAATGTCTAAGACACACCATACCCAAGTCAAAGCTTACATCCTGGAGCTGCACCGGACGTAAATAAAATAACCACATAGGATTATGTAAGAATTATATCAGTTTGGCATCGTGATTTATCCAGAGTGGTCTTCAAATCGTGATTGCCCTATAAATATTAATTACAAGACCTAAGCAAGAAGGCACAACACCCATTGAGAACTGCTAACTCTGTTTTGCTCATTAACAGAACCACGCAATTGCCTTCCCCTGGTGTCTAGAATGACTTTATAAACTTGACTATGTGACCTCTCCGAACACAGAGTTCTAACGATTTTGTCTCTCTTCTCACCCATTACGTCACTGGGGTGAAGGGTTAAACTGCTAAAATAAGGGAAGTATGGTCATTTGACTAATGTCCCTATGAGAAACATGGGGAGGTTTCAACACACTAATCATTAAGGCCCCCGAGACAGCACAATGCCATTGGGCAATGGCATCCAGGCTTCGTGGTCTGATCAATAGTGACTGAGTTGTCCCTGGTCCCAGGGTGGCCATCGCCAGTACTTTCCACCTTCAAAAGGGAAACTCCGAGGCGCTAAACTTTGGAATATATGCAAATTACAAAGTTTTGTTTTAAGCAACGAGGACATTAATTTACCAACTTCCTTCTCGCACCCATTTGTACAAATTGACAAATTTAACTGTTGGCTGTTTCTGTAGCAACCTCCTGGGATATTTACGGGTTGTGTCACTTGGATGAGCCTGTCAATGAGATTTTGGAAGAACTTGTGTCGGTGCAGAAAAGCTGTTTCAGGGGTACCTGTATCTCCGCACGGGGAGAAGGAAGGTCTCGGGACCACTATCTGCTAAGACCCTTTGAGCCACCGCACTCAGCAAACTTTCTTTAACTAGAAGCAGTTGCCTTGTGGAGAGTGGAAGCTGTTGCTGGTGTACACGGTGCGTTTCCTCATAGTCCAGTCACACCCTGGCAATTGAGTTTCTCAAAGAAAGCCTCCTCCCTCCTCCAGAAGGGTCTTCGACCCTCACCACAGAAGGAAACAGCAATCCTCCTCACCGGAGGAGCCGCGTTCGCAAGTGAAAAGTTTGCATAAAGTTTCACTGATGTGCAGACTCCCTACCTCTTCCTAGGGAAAGTGGATTACAAAGGTATTCCAGCCTCGTCTAGCCCTGACCGAGAAGAAAGTCTCAAGCCTCCCCCAGTTTCCCGCCACCACCACCTCCACCTCCGCCACACCTCAGCCCCACAGAGTCCGAGTCAGGGTGCTCAGAAAAGGGACCACTTTCCCCTAGAAGCCAGGGCGGAGGAGAAGCGGGTGGCCAGGACGCACACACCTGAGATCAGTCCTCACGCGCGAGGGGACAGCGGGTGGGCAGGGGCGCCAGGATCCTCCAGCCAGGGCGGAGTCGGCCTCGCCGAGAACCAGAGTGGCCCTGGGCTCGCGGCGAGCGCGCCGGGATGTCACCGGGTCAGGCGGGGCCACGGTAACCCGACCCGCCCGCCGACGCCCCTCCCGGACACTTCCTCCTCCCACCTCGTGCGCCTCCGCCTCCCCGGGGGATGACCCTGCGACTCCCCCACCGCGTGCGCCGCGACACCGCGGGCCCGGGCTCTTTGGCCCGGCGGGGGAAACGCGGAAGTGCAGGCTGGTGTGCGAGCCGCGGGCGGGGAAGGGCGGCTGCAGACTCGCGCTCTGGGCCTCGCGGGGACGTGAGCTGGCCCTGCCCCCCGCCCCGGGGTGATCGATCCTGCTCTGCGCCGGGGCGGAGAGGGACTCCAGACCCCGCCACTCCTCGCCAGCTGGAGGGAAGACGAGCTGGCTGAGCTAGGCCCTGGAAGCCGGCGGGGTGTCGGGTTCCTGTCCCTCCCCACGCTGGCCACCCCCCCCCCCCACTGCCATCTGCCCGGGAAGGAGGATGTTCGCCCTCCAGCTGCCCGCCGGGAATGCCTTACCTGATCACGCGTCGCGCGTCCCCAGATCCGGCGCTCCCCCCCCTCCCCCACCGCACCTCTCAGTCGCCAGGCTTCCCTGGGCCTACAAAGGCGTCTAGGAGTCGGGGGACCCTGGGGACAGGGCCTGCAGCTCTCGGCCCGGCTACCCCAGCGCGTTCTGCGGCCGCTCCAGGCCTCTTGACCCCAGGCCTGAATGCTATAGCACAGTGACCCTGGGAGAAGACCAAGCCCGGTCAGCAGGGGTGGGATGCTGAGCACTGGCCCAACAGGGCCCAGCCCTCGTACAGGTTGGGGGAGGCGGAGAGCCCTGGCTGCGGAGCCACAGGCTTCCCACTTGCACCCCCTCCCAACCCGACCCTGCCCACTGAGCATGCCCAGCTCACTTGTTGCTACTACAAGGGTTAGGCAAACCCAATGGTACCCAAAGAGGGGTTAGGTTGGGTTCCGAAAGACCCCGCTTTGTTAAGGCTTTAAATCATGAGATTTAAGTGTTTCCACCCACCGTGGTGTTAGAAAATTATGGAGGTACTGATCTGAAAAGCTCCTCAAATAAAGCAGCTAAATTAGTTTGAGGGAAAGTGTAACAGTGTTTAGTAATCGATTGTATATATATATATATATATATATATATATATATATATATATATATATGGTTTTTCGAGACAGGGTTTCTCTTGGAGCTCAGTCTGTAGACCGTACTGGGCCTGGAACTCCTTCCTGCCTCTGCCTCCCAAGTGCTAGGATTAAAGCCCTGGGCCACCAACGCCCATCTTTTTTTTTTTTTTTTTTTTTTTTTTTTTTTTTTTTTTTTTTTTTTTGCTTTTTCGAGACAGGGTTTCTCTGTGGTTTTGGAGCCTGTCCTGGAACTAGCTCTTGTAGACCAGGCTGATCTCGAACTCACAGAAATCTGCCTGCCTCTGCCTCCCGAGTGCTGGGATTAAAGCCCTGGGCCGACAACGCCAACCTTTATTTAGTATTCTTAAACACTGAAGAATTCCTCGTAGAAATGTGTGGGGTCACAGATTCCTAGTAACTTCCGGGAGCCCACCACAGTCTCTGGAGACAATCCACTGACTCCCCACCTTGGACCTGATAAAATGTTAAGGCCAACAGCTCTCACTGTGAAGCTTCCATCCCTGTACCACTGAATGAGTTTGGAATTGGAGCCTGGAAATCTTTAGCATTTAAAAATATGTTTTTCACAGTACAGCTCTCGTGCCTCGGTACAGCATCATCTGAGAACTTGGCAGAAATGCAAATTGTCTGCACGGGAGACTTACCTGAGGTTGAACACCAGCCCTAAACAGCCCTCCTCCAGATCCGGCTTCACCCTAGTGGTTGAGAGCCAGCCAGCATTCAGTAGCTCAGTCCTAGATTATTCTGGTGTGAGAATCCTCTAAGTAAACCAATGACTTTGGCTTGGGGTGGGGGTTTGTTTTGTTTTTCAGATCCCAAACAGTTACTTAGAAGTTCAATGGATTTCTCACAAAGAACTAGGTTGAAATCAGGTCCCTCCCATACTGGCTTTTCTTCCCACCAATTCACCTAGAAGAGTTCAGTTCCTGGATATGGGAAACGCCCCAACATTCACTTTTGTACTCTGAGGCCTATAATAGCTATTTAAATGTTTGTTGATTTTAAATGTATGCTTGCGTGAACAGTTTGTTCCAGGCCCTACTAAGTCCTCTTCCTCGCCTCCTTGTTAACTACCACCCCCCCCACTCCCCACCCCTCCCCCCCCCCCCCCCCCCCCCCCCCCCCCCCCCCCCCCCCCGCTTTTGCTCTCAGGAAACCTCAAACTGAGCTCCCTTCAGACCCTGGGCCTGAATGAGAGAGGCTGTAGAAAAAAGTCAGAAGCACTGGGTAGCATTGCACTTGACAAACACTGGCCTCAAAATGATAAAGATCAGCATAGTAAGTATCCAGTTGGATTCCAAGAGCCCAAAGGGAAAAGGTGTGTGGGTGAGAGCCGCGAGCCAGGAAGCAATCCTGAACAGCCCACATTCTGTTGTCAAAACCAAAGCATTTCAGCATTCTTCGTGAGTGTGTGTGTGTGTGTGTGTGTGTGTGTGTGTGTGTGTGTATCACATCTCATCTCAACCAGTGCTTTGAATAAAAGGAGTAAAATCCAAGAGGAAAATGTTCCGCGGCAGATATTTCCATGAATGAAAATGATTGTTCAGGCCCCAACTAACTTAGAGCATGTTCAAAAACAAAACTGAACAGCTTTGTTCTGTCTGCAGATAGAGACAGAGGAAAGCTATGAGTTCAAGACCAGCATAGCAAGTTCCTGGACAGCCAGAGCTACAGTGAGGAATAGCTGGGGGGGGGGGGGAGTGCGGAGGAGGGGAGAGGGGCGCTATAATTTTCAAAGCAAATGCCATGCCAGATAATTTTTAAATGTACAGGTTTAAGATAACTTTAAAATCTCACAGAAACTCATAAAATCAAAGAGTATTCTTGTTTATTTATTTTTGAGACTGGGTCTCTCTACAGTTCTGGCTGTCCTGGAACTCACTGCATGGTCCAGGTAGATCTCCAACTCACAGAGAGCTTACTGCCTCTGCCCTCTGAGTGTGAGGTTAAAGGCATATGCCACCACACCCGGCTCCATCAAATATTTTTGGGAGGAATACCTTATATAATATAAAGGCATCTTTCCCTTCTCCGTCTAACATGTAATGCTTTAAAGCCATTTTAAGGCTGCTGTTTGTAAATGACAGATTGGGCATTTGTTCAACATTCCTGTCTCTGCCCAGATGTCTTGCTTTTATTGTGAAAAAAAAAAAAAAAACACTCCACGGGAAGAATTGGCTTGGGGATCGGAATATCTAAGAGGAGCACAGCTTTCCAAAGGCCTCAGCAAGTTCTTGTCATAAAGATAGAAACTGCATAGGGAATGAGAGGACACTTGTTGGTTTAGGAATTGCCCTTTGAAATTAATTTTTTACAATAAACTTACAAATAACATTTTTATTTTAAGTTTTTTTAAAAAAAAATAAAAAAGTGGCTCGAGAGATGGCTCCGTAGTTAAGAATATTTGTGTTTGGCTGGAAATCTCCAACTCACTCCTTCTTGACCCAGAAAGCCCCATTTCTCCCTTCAAGCCCCGCCCTCTCTGAGGGTACCAGCAAAGCTTCCAAAAAGCCCAGTTCTGTATTCTTAGTGGCTGCAGTGGCTCCTCCCCTGAAGTTGCCCATGGCCCAGTCCTTGCCTAAAGCATGTCATACTTGGGCACAAACCCAGCTTGTGGAGGACATGACATCATCACCCCTCACCTACAGGGTATTGAGGCTCCTTGCTTTAGTTCAGGCAGTGACTTCTCCTGCCTCAGCCCCTGGGGCTGGAGAATTCACTCGGGAGTTGTTTGGCTCAAACTAAACCTGTTCTTTTACTTTTTTCAATTCAGCCTGAAATGGCTTTCTGTGTCACAAGAGAAACCTACTATCAAGGTATAGAAAATCTATTAATTTACTTTTTCCAGAGGACCATCGCTCAATTTCCAGCACCCAGATGGCAGCTCACAACCCTCTGTGACTCCAGCTCCAAGAAATTCAACATCTCTGGCCTCTGAGGATCTATATCCATGTGTATATACCCACATACAGACACACACAATTATACATACCTAAAAGTAATAATAATAAGAAGAAGAGTACTTTTCTTTTAACATCAGATGCTTGCTGCTGCTACTTTTGATCATGGAATTCAAACCAAAAAAGTGAGTTTAGGGATGGGGAACAAAGTGGGTGTTGGGAAAGAGGTCTGGATCCTTACCAAATTGAAAAATGTGAAGCTGTTGTTGGAGCAAAGGCAGTCCTGAAGAACATTATCTTGGGGCTATAAAAGTCTGAAGGACTACTTGCCATCATAAGCATGACTAAGCATTTGGAAAGCAGCTGCGTTTTCTGACTTACAGATTGCCGGTGTCAAACAACTTTGGTGCCACCTAACTTTGCTTGTACTCCTAAGAAAACAGGCATAAGCCTGTAGTTCCAGCTACTTGGAAGGCTGCAGCAGGAAGAACACTAGTTCAGGACCTGCCTGAACTCCAAAGAGAATAAAAGGCCCATCTGAAAGGCTGAGCCAGACTCTGTCTCAATTTTAAAAAGTCAAAATAAGAGAGAGCCAGGGCTATCGTCCAGCAGCAGCATCTGCCGATGGGCTTAGCATGCTGAGCACCAGCATTGCTCCCTGAGCTTCCTGCCTGCACAGTGGCCCCAGCTCCTGGAGTCACAGCTAGAGCTGCTCCCCCATCCATGCCTCCCCACTACCCTCCATGATGGGCTCGCCTCAACCTGTGGGCCACAAAAACACCCTTCCTTCCTGAAGTTACTGTTGTCAAATATTTCGCCACAGTAAGGAGAGCAGTGACTAACACTTCCAGACATCCACCAGATCCTGTCACAGGCAAGTGAAAAGCTAGTGAATGTCACAAAAGCCTATTTGCAGTTCCTGCTCCTACCCCAGACAAAGGCTTCCTTCAGAGCCCAGCATGTGGGCCTCCAAAAACAGTGATTATTTTTTTTTAATTTAACTAAAAAGTAAACAAACCCATAGGGACTTACTCAGGTTTTCCCTCAGCTTTCCAGATGTTTCTTTCATGCACTTGTATGTTTGTTTGCTGCTTTGTTACAGTTTGGGGACCTGCATTTAGGACACCCACAGCATGGCTGTATATGGCTACATTAGATCTTGTTCATTTTCAGAGAAACAGATTTTTCCCCCTTACCAAGCATGTTCACTGTTCATCAACGCCCACAATAAAATTTATTAAATATTAGAAGTAGAAAGAACCACAGATGGCATCGGCCTCCCAACTTCTGTTTTACTAAGGTGCAGAAGTAAACTTAAATAACTTCC